GGCTGAGGCAGGAGAATTGCCTGAACCCAGGAGGCGGAGGTTGCGGTGAGCCGAGATCGCGCCATTGCACTCCAACCTGGGTAACGTGAGTGAAACTCCGTCTCAAGAAAAAAAAAAAAAAGAGTAGTAACGTGGCAATTTGTGGATAACAGACACTTCAGACTTCATCTTGCACAGATCTATTTAATGGAAGTGGCCTCAGGATGTTCCACTGTAATTAAGTCCATGGGCCTGTCAACACTAGGTGGAGAAGAAGCCACCATCTTTCTTTCGGGAGTAACCTCCGTTGGTGGCTGCAGTGTGAGGGGACACTGTGGAGCAAAGAGAACGAAGGGGATTGAATTTCAGATCCTTGGCCTTTTTTAGGAGACTTTAATCATCAATACAGTGTGGGTACTGCGGAGAAGCTTCTCATAACAGCTGCGAAGACTAGCATATGGATGACTGATGGGAGGTAGTTACAGGTCTTCCACCGCCAGATTTTTGCCCTTGCTGTAAATGTTTGTTCCTAGACTTAAGGCTGAGCAAAGACGCTCTGAAAAATTGAATTAACTTCCTAGCTCTACAGTCAGCATATCCCCTGGTATTAATCTGGTACGTGCCAACTTAATCACTGCTTTCCAAGACCCACAGAAATCCCTCATCTTCCCTTCTGTCCAGTCACCTCAAATCCCTGATTCATGGGTCCATTTAGAAAGACTTCCCCACTGCTCCATCTGCTTACCCAGTCTTCTAACCCTTACCTATGGATCCCTGGATGCTGTGGATGGACTCCTTTTTAGGGTTGATCCAGTGTCTGATGTTAGCCAGGAAAGTGATGGGTGGAGTGGGAGGGGTTAAAAATTCTCCAGGGAATTGGATGTTGGCTCTAGAAGAAGGTGTAGGGAAGAAAGGGAGAGTGAAATCAATCAGAAAGGTGAGGAGGGCAAGGTAGTTGAGTGCCATCTCAAGAATAAAGCAGCCAGAGACCCTTTTTACCTCTGTGGGATTAACCAAAGATTTTGTTTGTACAGATGAGCACAATCTTGGGGGATTTCTTTTTCTTTTTTTTTAAGATGGGGTTTCACGGTGGTGGTCAGGCTGGTCTTGAACTCCTGACCTCAGGTGATCCACCCACCTCGGCCTCCCAAAGTGCTAGGATTACAGGCGTGAGCCACCATGCCTGGCTTAATCTTGGGGGATTTCTGTTCATCGAAGACAGTGAAAATACAGAAACTATATTATGGACACAGATGTAAAAATACAGAAATTTGTATACCAATGAGTACCTAGTGATTATCACTTCCCGTATATGACTGGATGGCAGCATGTGTGGGCTGGAGGGGCTCTGCCTCTCTACCACTTACCTACGGATATCCTCCTTGGTCGTCTGGTGTAGCAGCATCTCACTTTTGTTCTTGAATGCCTCAGTGTGGTGGTTGTACAAGGCTGCTAAGCGGAAGTCCAGGTCATCCTTCGGTATCTACAGAAGTCAGTCCCCTCAGGGTTAGCTCAGCCACCGGTGCCCCTCCTCTAGTCGGGTTCTGTTGTGTTCTACTCTTCCCCAGAAGTATAGTGAAGCCCCTGTTGGGTCTGAAATCTACCAGCTCCTTACACACTATGTTGTTGTACATGATAACTCCTTTTTTTTTTTTTTTTTTT